TTTTTTTTTTTTTTTTTTTGAAAAACCGACCAACTTTGGTCGGTTTTTGCCGAATTTCTAGTAGTGTCAATCTTCTCTGAGATATTATGTGATATTTGTGGATGATAATAAAAGATACACCTGGTTTTATCCCATGAAGAAAAAATTTGAGCTCTTTGAAAACTTCCTTAAATTCCAGAAAATGGTACAAAGAGAGTTTTCAAAGACTATTAAAAAATTTCAAAGTGATGGAGGTGGTGAATTCATCAGTAGTGAGTTTGTTAAGCATTGGAAAAATGTAAAATTATTAGGTGAATATCTTGTCCTAATATCCCTGAACAAAATGAAATTTCTGAGAGAAAACACAAATATATAGTGGAAACTGGCTTGATAATGTTGTTTCATGCTAAGAAGACTCAGTTTTTGTGGGTTGAAGCTTTTCTAATGGTTGTATTTTTAGTAAACATGCTACCCTCATTAACAACAACAATAACGAACCCAGTGTAATCTCATAAATGAGGTCTGGGGTAGAAAGTGTATACGCGGACCTCACCATTACATTATAAAGATAAAGAGGTTATTTTCGATAGACCCTCGACTCAAAGAACAATGAAAATAAAGCAACGAAGCAACAAACAATAGTATCAATAATGTAATATGGTAATGGACACGAATGACACAACCTGTAATAATAAAGAACAATGAATAATAAAAAACTGAAATAGTCCTAGTACTACTGGTAAGCCTAGGAAAAATACATTACTACCTATCAACCTTCAACCCTAATCCTCGACCTTCACATCTTCATATCGTGGGTCTTATTCTCGGTAAGCTGAAGAAATGACATATCCTGCCTAATTATCTCCCCCCAATACTTCTTTGGCCTACCTCTATCCTTCCTCAGACCCGCCATGGTCAATCTCTCATACCTCATAACTGGAGCATCTGTGTCTCTCATCTTCACATACCCGAACCATCTTAGCCTCAATTTTTGCAACTTTTCCTTCACAGATGTCACTCCCACCTTATCCTTAATAACTTCATTCCTAATCCCGTCTTTCCAGGTATGTTCATAAATCCATCTCAATATCCTCATTTCAGCTAATTTTATCTTCTAGACATGGAACTTCTTGACGGGCCAGCACTCAGCCCCATATAATATAGTCGGTCTAACCACCGCTTTGTATAACTTACCCTTAAGTCTAGGTGGCACATTCTTATCACACAAAACCCTTGTCGTGAGCCTTTATTTTATCTGTCCCGCTCTAATATGATTGAGTAACATCCTCGTCAATCTCTCCAATTTTCTTGGATAATATACCCAAGATACTTGAAACTATCTTTTTGGGGGGTGGCTTGAGAATTAATCTTCACTTTCACTTCTGCTTCATGCAACACATCACTGAACTTGCACTCCAATTACTCAATTTTTGTCCTACTCAACTTAAGATCTTTAGACTCTATCGTCTATCTCCAAACATCTAACCTAGCGTTCCGCCTCGCATCTCGTCAATCAAAGCTATGTCATCAGCAATTAGCATACACTATGGAACCTCCCCTTGTATGTGTCGTGTCAACACATCCAAAGATAGGGCAAACAAAAATAGGCTAAGAGGCGATCTCTGATGCAACCACATCTCTACTAGGAAATGATCTAAGTCTCCTCCTACAGCCCTTACCCGAGTCTTTGCTCCCTCGTACATATCCTTAATCATCATTATGTACACTACCGGGACACCGCTAGCCTCCATACATCTCCATAGGACCTATCTCAATGCTTTATCATAGGCTTTCTCTAGGTCAATAAACACCATATGCAAGTCCTTCTTCCTCTCCCTATACTGCTCCATCAATCTCCTCACAAGGTGAATGGATTCTGTAGTTGACCGTCCCAGTATAAAGCCGAACTGTTTCTCGAAAATAGTTACACTTCGCTGCACCCTTCTCTCTACCACCCTCTCCCAAACTTTTATAGTGTGACTCAGCAGCTTGATACCCCTATAGTTGTTACAGTTTTGGATATCACCATTATTTTTATACAACGGGATCGTCAAACTCTATGGCCAATCTTCAGGTATCTTCTTCATTCTGAAAATAACATTAAACAAACCAGTAAGCCACTCCGAGCTTGACCGACCCACTTCCTTATGAAATTCCATTGGGATCTCGTCAGACCCAGTTGCCTTACCCCTGCTCATCTTCTGCATTGCCCCCTCAACCTCCTCGCTTTTAATACGCCTACAAAACCCAAAATCTATTTGCCTCTTTGAGTTTTCTAACCCTTCCATCACGATGTTCCTGTCCCTTTCCTCATTCAAGGGTCTATGTAAGTACTTATGCCATTTACGTCTGATAAATGCCACTTCCACCAATACCTTACCATTCTCCGTCTTTGATGCACCTCACTTGATCCAAATTCCGAGCCTTTCTCTCCCTAATCTTGGCTAACCCGTACAACTTTCGATTACCTCCTTTGCCCCCATGATTCTCATACAATTGCTCAAAAGCTGTATTCTTAGCCACCATAATTTTGCCTCTTTCCTTGCGTTCTTATAACACTCCCTACACGTTGCATACAAAAGATACAGTGACTCAACTAATGGTAGAGAAAGGTAAGCAAGCCGAAGTAAATGCAATAGTTAAGGGTAAAAGGCAGACAACAAAGATATTAACAAGTGAGATTATAAATTCTAAGCAAGAACGATAGAACCTGGAATATAAACAGATGCCAAAAAAATGATTCTGACCAACAACAACTATATTCTAGAAATTCCCACGCGCCGCTCGCCTCTTGCTGCCCGCGCATGAGACTCACGCGCCTGCTTAGGATCGCCGAAAAGCTGCCTCTGTACAAAAACTTTTGCGGCCGCTGATAGGTCTATAAATTCAACGAGCAACAAGCAAGAAAAGGGTGGGAGAAGAAGATAAAGAAGGTGCCTCCCATTGTTGCCGCTGCTGCTAGGGTAGTGAGACTCGGCGAAAGAAAAAAAGGAGAAAAAAGAAGATGGGAGTAGAAGAGAAGAGGGATAGGGGAGGAGGAAGAAAGAGGAAGAATAAAAAAATGGGAAGATAAATAGACGGGACATGCTACCCTCATTAGTTCTAAAAAATGAGACCCCTTATATAAAGTTATATGGTGCTTCCCCAAATTATAAAAACTTGAAGGTCTTTGGTTGCAGATGTTATCCCTGTGTAAAGGGACAAAATAAGTTCTCACCAAAAATATATCCATGTGTGTTTATTGGTTACAACAGCCTACACAAAGGATATATGTGTTTTCATCCACCATTTATGAGGGTCTTTATATCGAGGCATGTGGTATTTGATGAAGTTGCATTTCCCCATGAGCAGCCTGAACAGTCTCACACTGATACTTCGACTTACTTAGCCACTTTTCTTGAGTTTTTTCCTAATCTACAGGACAATGCTGAGACAACAGAGGAGACAATTGCTTAAGAGGAAGTGTTACACACAGATATATGACATGATCATGTTATTCATGATGATGCAACTAATGTTCATACAGTTGCAGGACATGATTATGTTGTTCTTGATGATACAACTGATGTCCACACTCCTCATGACAGTCATCTTTCTAATCAAGACTAGTATGTAGACTTGAACAATACAATTAGTAAGGACAATGGTAGTGCTGAGCAGAACGAAGACCTGGAAAGTTAGTCTACGACAAGTGCATATGTTAAGGGCTCATATTGTGAGATGTAAACAAACTATCTTAGTTTATGATCCATAAGGTATACAACTTGAAGTTGATCTATCAAAATGGTTTAATAGTGAGCACAACATACTGCGCCATCTCCCTCAGATGAAAATGACCTCACACAAGAGCAAGGTACTCATAATTCCTTACTGGTATGCAACAATGCAGGAGGAAATTGATGCATTACACAAGAACAAGACTTGGATGTGTGTCCCAAAACTTGCACACATGAATATAGTTGGCTCAAAGTGGGTTTTTAAAACCAAGGTGAAGTCGATTTCACTATAGATAGGTATAAAGCCAGGCTTGTTGTAAAGGGGTACTCTCAACAAAAAGAAGTTAACTTTGAAGAGACATTCGGTCTTGTGATCAAGGCAACTACCATAAGAGTGATCCTCTTAGTTGCAGTCAGTTTACACAGCCCCATCTGACAACTTAGGGCATGTTTGGCCATAAGAATAGTTTTACTTTTTTTTTTTGAATTTATTTTGGAATAAGTATTTGGGCACAAAAATTTTAAATTTTACTTGAAGTTGAATTTCAGAATTTTTTGAAAATTTTAAAAACTGTAAAAAGCTGTTTTTCAAAATTTTCACTTCAAATTACTTATAATAATTCAAAAAATAACTCCAAATTGTATTCATATCCAAACACAACTCTAATTTTTAATGTACCATTTTTACTTGAATTTTTGAATTACTTTTTTAGAATTTTATAATTCTTATGTCCAAACGTCCACTTAATGTCAAAAATGTATTTCTACATGGGCATTTTTAGGAGGAAGCCAACATGAGCCAACCCCCAAGTTTTGTTGATTCAAATAACCCAAATCATTTTTGCTTTCTAAAAAGGGTATTGTATGGCCATAAGCAGGCACTTGGGGTCTGGTTTGATAGGTTTAGTTTCTATCTACTCCACCTTGGTTTTAAGTGTGGTAGAGCAGACTCTTCATTATTTGTACTACAATGCAAGAGAGGAATAATCTTGTTGCTTCTGTGTGTGGATGACATAGTGGTTACAGGGAACTCTTCTGAGTTCATTGTAGAGTTAGTTATAGGTCTTGGAAAGGAGTTTGCCATGAAAGACCTTAGACCTTTGCATTTCTTTCTAGGTATAGAAGTTAGATACTTCAATGGAGGTATTCATCTGAATCAAGGCAAGTATGCTGCAGAATTTCTAAAAAAGACTGGCATGGCTCTTGCTAAGGCAGTCAGTGCACTATTGGCACAAAAGCATGGACTACAACAGGCTACAGGAGCAGTTGATGCCTTTGCATACAAAAGTATTTTAGGAAGCCTTTAATATCTCACAATAACCAGGCCTGACTTATCACATGATGTGAACCTAGCAAGTCAGTTCATGCAAAATTCAAATAGTGAACATCTTCAAGCTGTAAAAAGGATTCTCTGGTATGTAAATGGAACCACTCAGTATGGGCTCAGGCTGCTTGCAGGGTCACCTCTAAGGCTATATGCCTTCTCTGATGCAGACTGGGGAAGATGTGCCACAACAAGGAGGTCAACTACATGGTATACAATTTATCTGGGTGCAAATTATATCTTGGGAATCTAAGAAGCAGAATACAGCGGTAAAGTCCAGTGCTGAGGCTGAATATAAGGCACTAGCCTCGACTGCAACTGGAGTTACTTAGATAACTTATATTCTTAGAGATATTGGTGTGTCCTTAAAGACAACTCCGGTCTTGTTTTGTGATAATCTCAGTGCATTGTATATGACAGTAAATCCAATCTTACATCCAGAACAAAACTTGTAGAGATGGATTATCATTTTGTGATAGCAAAGGTAGCTAGTGGACAACTTGTCACACACTTTATTCGATAAAAGGATCAGCTGGCATACATTCATACCAAGGCAGTGTCTAAGAAATATTTTGTAACTTTTCGGAGCAAGCTAGGAGTGGATATTCTTGGAGGAAAGTGTTGAAGACACTAATAAGGATCATGGATAGAGTTAGTGATTGACAGTGATCGAGTCTGTTCTATTACTTGTAGTAGTTACACTAGGACTCTTTACTTGTATGTATTGTAGCTAGATAGGACTAAATAAGTAGGTCTCCTCAAGTTAAATATGTAGAACTCCTCAAGTGTAATCTGTATAAATTGGTGCACAAGTATGCAGATGATATATCAACAAAAGTAATCTCCTTCTACTTGACTTCTATTGTGTTTCTCTGCAGAGAGCATTGTAAATCACGTGGAGATTGTTAATCTGGCAAACTCTGCGGTCCAAATATGCCCTTGTACTATACAAAATTGAGCACAATTACCCTTCGTTAATACTTTAGCTCAAGTATGCCCTTACCGTCACATAGTTGGTCCATATATGACCTTAGAGTTACACAGTTGGCCCATATATGGCCTTTTCGAAACGGAATTCACCCTAACTAATTAGCTCTTTCGTTAATTATATTAAAGCGTATAACAAACACTATTTCCTTTTTATTAGTACTTTTTTCTTTACCTTTCTCTTTTCTTTCTTCTCTTTTCTTTTCTTCTCTTTTTTTTTCACTTTTTTTTTCTCCCTTATCCGTTTCCTCCTTTACTGATGTCTTCTCCATTTTCGTCACCAATTTCACTTGACAAAACTCATGAATTCCAATTACTAAGAAAATTCTCCCATAAGGTAATCAAGTTTCAATTTCACTAGCCCTCTAAATGAATGAAATTAAATTATTCCAAAAATTATGGTTTAAACGTTAAAATAATAAAAACATCTCAACCTTTAACAATACTCAAAAGACCAAAATATTTAAATTGTTTCCAGAAAGATAATTTAATGATTAAAAGCCTAGAGTTCAAGTTGTAGTGTTATAAATTTGAGTTGTTAGTCTTTTTTCATCTTTTTTCAGCTGGACATTTTCTATTTTTTTTATTAATTATGTAAATTAGGGGTGTACATGGGACGACTTGGTTCGATTTTTATCAAAATCAAACCAAACCAATTATATCGGTTTTGGATTGTTCGGTTTTGTTGGATTTTTCGAGTTTTTTGTTACATAATTATTATTTCAATCTTACTTTGTTAAATTTTTTAGAACTAAATATATGTTCAGTAAAAATTTAAAAATTGACAAACATATGATCTATTAAAATATTCTTATGCGAGAATTTTTTTTAGTAATTGGAATTTATGAGTTTTGTCAAATGAAATTGGTGACGAAAATGGAGAAGACATCAGTAATGGAGGAACTCTGATAAGGGAGAAAGAAAAAAGAAAAAAAAAGAGAAGAAAAGAAAAAAGAAGAAAGAAAAGAGATATGTAAAGAAAAAAAGTACTAATAAAAAGGAAATAGTGTTTGTAATACAATTTAATACAATTAACGAAAGAGCTAATTAGTTTGGGTGAATTCCGTTTCGAAAAGGGCATATATGGGCCAACTGTGTAACTCTAAGGGCATATATGGACCAACTATGTGACGGTAAGGGCATATTTGAGCTAAAGTATTAACGAAGGGCAAATGTGTTCAATTTCGTATAGTATAAGGGCATATTTGGACCTTTTCCGTAGAATATATGATGCCTCTTTCTTTTGCAGTGACGATAATGTCCCTTAAATTTCTTTAAGGCAATACACACAATTTCTTCTTCTTTTTTCTCCTTAATCTTGTAAAAACTGAGAGAAAATTGTAAACCATTATTTGGGCTTTTTCTTTTATAAAATAACCAATCTTTGAAAGTTTGTTGAAAAGTAACCATTTTTTATGCGGAAACATCATGAAAGTGCCACCAATTTCGAATTTAAACATGAAATATCCTGAATTTCACACATAATTATATCATGAAGTTTTACCTTTATAAGTTTGAAATTTATAACACTCTCATAGATATAAAAAATTTAGCTATTTTGTAATGATTTTTGAAGCCGTGACTGTTTTTTCAATTACAAGTACAAAAAATATTTATTTTTAAACTTTACCCCTGCTTTGGAGACCAAAAACTTATTTTCGTCGCGTCCATCAAATAAGCCTTTGGGGCTAATATTTTTCTAATGTGAACGATTAATCTTCTAATTACAAAGAACATGAAAACCTTTTTAATCCCTTGATTAAATAAAGGAATGCAGTAGCTCCTAAAGTTTGATTCCCTTTTAAGGCATCATTTTTCTTAAAAAATTGCTCTTCCTAAATCTTAAGATTAGACTTATATAAACGGATCAAGGTTCTCTTTTACTATTTGGTAAAGTTATTCCTATAATATCACTGATCTGAATTGTCTGATTAAATATCATTATCATACTCTTTATAAGTGATTATTGTCGCACCTTCCCGACTTCTATGTTCCAGCTTTTTACCATCTGACGTCATATCCGAATTTCTTTATGTTCTAACCTTCCACTTTCATGTAATATTATATGCCAATTGTATTTTTAATATGACCGTAGTATTCAGATTTACTTACACTTCTCCGGTTATTTTTATTTCATCGAATACTTGCTAGATCCATTTATATTATTTAAGATACTCCATCTCCCACTAAATTTTGTTGATCTTTTCTATCAAACTTGTGTCTGAATTATTTCACTTCTAATACGAGGTTCTCTGTTTTAAACAATTAGCTCAACTTTTTATTTTAACCAACTTGCACCTAAGAGTATATAAGCTTCGTTTAAATATGTAAATCTAGGCTATCAAGCAAGGAAAAATACATTATGAACTTGTTTCTGGGTCAAATTTGATCAATTTTTAGTCAACAGGACCATGTGGATTTGAGTATGGAGCGAGACTGCAAGAGACACGTTCTTGAGGGCATTTTTGGCATTAAAAGACGATGGCTTTGACTCTGCGAGGACTACTTGATCATGGCCGTTTGGTTGCTTGTGAAAACGAAACAGAAGGTAATAAAGAATAAAATATCTAGAATTTGGATAATACACATGGAAAAAGCACTAAGAATGGCCATATTATCTTGTGATAATTGTATATATATAGCACCTATTGGCTATAATGCTTTAAGAATGCGCCTTTATATATATATATATATATATATAAGATCTCTATCATCTAAAAATCCTAACAATAGTGAGAGGATTGTTTTACTAATTTTATTTAACTCTACCACATGCCTCTTCATATGTGCGCTTGATTTTTTTTTCTTGGTCAGATTATAATAATATTTTTGTTATGTTGTACTAGACAAGAAATTAGAACCTTTCTCTGTCTCTGAGATGATAAGATTCAAATAGTATGCATCTCCTCGTCCAATATTTAAGGTAATTGGACGACTAATTCATCCAACGTCATGAAAAATCTAAATGAGTTCCTTGGGCTATTATCGAGCCCAAATACATGCGTATTATGTGAACTTCTATAATATTTTATAAAACTATTCATTTTTCGTTTTAATGTGAGAGTTGCCTAAGATATTCTTAAAAAGCGTCACAACCTAAAAATTTGTCAACCCTGCTTGACCCGTCCCCGTCGGTCTGCCATCCGATACGGAGGTCACATTATATATCCCTGACATATTTATGTAAAATATGATTTTGTGCTAGAATTTATTTGGACAAATGATTTCTCTTTGGTTTCTTGACTAACTTTAATTTTTTAACAACCGTCATAGGTTTAAGGGTATATCTAATACTTAGTGTAATTTATCAGGTTAAAGCGCACGAACTAGAGAAAATAAACTTAGCTCTTGTTTGGTCATAAATTTTGGCAACCTTTTTTTTAATTTCTTTTAAAAAATTATTTGCTCATGGAATATGATCAGTTTTTGAAAAAATATTCAAGTTCTCAAAACTGATTTAGGCTAGTTTTTTGGTGAAAATTTTTCTTCCACTCACAAAAATTCAACTTTTTTTTCCAAATAAAATGCATGTCCAAATACAACTTTTCAGCTTCCAAAAATTATTTTTCTAACACAACTTCAAAACTCTTTCTTCAAGTTTCAACCAAATCTATGTCCAAATACTAGCTAATTTAATAAGTGGAAGAAGAAGCTTGGAGCACACTGAATACGCTCAACGTGTTAAGAAGCGAACATCAGAACAAACAACTTAATGAGTAATTGGTAGAAATAGAAGTAATTGTGTTTGAACGTGAACTTACGAGCTTAAATTTTAAAAAAGATTTCTGAAATTACCAGAATATTTGTGTGTGAAAACTAATATTTCACTTAAAATACTAGTCAAACCAATATTTCAATATTTATCAATATGTTAGATATTGATTTCAACATTGAAAAGCAATAAGTAGATTTTTTTTAGAAGAAAGTAGTTGCGAGAAGTTATTTACAATTATTTGGCTTTGTTAAACCCCATGGATGCCCGCACTTACATATTTGGAATACTCCTTATGTCTTAATTTATGTGAAAAGATTTGACGTAGGTAGATAAAGATATCTAATTTTCATTGTGAATTTGGCCATAAATTTTACTCCTTTAGATGTTCTACGTTATATTCTTTTTATTTATTTTCTTTTCAACTTTTACAGGCGTAAGATCGGACTACCCCAAATGTTAGATTCGCTATCTCTAACAAGTATGGGACCTATCTTGGTCTTGGAACCTCTTCTTCGGCCTTCCCTACTTTTCCTCTTCTCCTTTATTTTATTTTCTCCCTTAAAATATAAGTTAAAAAAAAAGAAAGAAAGAATACCCCACTTCAAAATAGCAAACAAAACCACCAGCTCTCTTCTTCTCACTCCAATTCCAAGCCAATAACATCTTTTATAAAAATAGTAAATTAGTATTTTGATTATTTCTTTACTAATTCACATAACTTTGGTTTTCAAGAGTGATATGGATGATGAAATATATGGTTTCCATTCAACAAGTGAATACGCGGACAAGGCGTTGATGTCACCGGAGAATTTAATGATGCAAACTGAGTACAACATGACTTACCACAACTACAACACTTTGAGTACTCCTCCTATGATGTTTGGATCCGATGATGTTCAATTATCATCTGAAGCTGCTAATTCTGAAAATAATAATATTCATCATCAAATTAGAGGCAGCTGTAGCAGACGCGATGATACTGAAGATGCTTCAAATATTATCAAGGCTAAAGTCGTCTCCCATCCTTTTTATCCAAAATTGCTCCGCGCTTATATTGATTGCCAAAAGGTTAAAATACAACTCATATATACAAGCTTTTAATCTGTATGGATTAAAATTCTGAGTGTTTTCGGAAAATATAGTAATTTTCAGTGTTTTCTCACATGTACTTCTATGATCTAAATTAGAAGACTGTGAATTTTCTTTAAACTGCACATCCGCCACTGACTGTTTAACCTAAATATCTTTTCATCATCACTTCTTAGAGATATGTTTTTTCAAAAGTTTCCGAAAATTTATGATTTGCTTTCTTTACGAAGAGGGTTATATATGGCTTTCGAAATCTTTAATTAGCTTCTGCAAATTTGGATATCGATCTTATCTTCTTCTTTTAATTTTCCTTTTTTTTTCCAGTACTTGTGATAATTCTTTTGGCTTGTATTTAGGCTTTAGGTTCTGATTAGGTTTCAATGGTTCGTTTATTTTTCAGGTAGGAGCACCACCAGAGATAGCAACTGTACTAGAAGAGATAAGGCAACAAAACGACTTTCGTAAACCAAACGCTACTTCCATATGCATAGGAGCTGATCCTGAACTCGACGAGTTTATGGTTAGTTCTTAATTCTTTCTGTTTGTAGAGTTTATAATTGTTAGCTGTTATTGACTTTTCTTGCTACGACTTGTTAAGTTCTTGCTGGGGACAGTTTGTTTGAAATTTTGATCATATATGCTTATTATATGTGAAATAGGAAACGTACTGTGATATATTGGTGAAGTATAAGTCGGATCTGTCTAGGCCTTTCGATGAAGCAACTACGTTCCTCAGCAAGATTGAACTGCAACTCAGTAATCTTTGCAAAGGTTAGTCCAATACTACGTGCTTTCTTTCTCTTGCAAGTTTTATTTATTTATTTCGTTGATGATGATGGTGGCCGTACCAATTAATTTGCCCGCAACTATTTCTTTCCGTCTCTTTTCTTTTCCTTGTTTTTTTCCCTTCTAAATGAAATTCTTTTACATGAATGATGAAGAAATTAAAGACAATGAGAATTGTGAACACATATATATTGTGATGTTGCAAACTAATCTACCAGACCACTGGACTATAAACCTCAAAATCACATATTTTCCTTGAGTTATAGTTGTCGTACTTATTTCTTGTGTTACTGCAAATTAAGGAAAAGAACAATTAAATAGCACTTGGGTGGACGCGATAATAATATAGCATAGAGCTCCAAAAAATGACTAAAAAGGTGTCAGAAATAAAAATTGATATGTTGGAGTGAGAGCTTCTTGCCTTATGGTTCAGGCCCTGGCTGAGTATATGATTTTGGAAACTTTGCTTATTTTGTTGCATGTAATTCACTGAATACAAAATACTATAGCAAACTTAGTAAAGGGCTAGCCATATTTTTCCTCAGGGTTAGATCTGTTTTAGTGCAACTGGGACCTTTCATCCTAGTTTTACTCATAGTGTTTTGTGGTGCTTCACTTGTCTCTCTTGCCTTTTGTTTGGTGTCAGAGAAATTTTCTTCTTTTTTTTCATTTAAACCACTTTAGCTCAGAGATTCTGATTTTGACGTATCACAGACTGAGGTGACATGCTATAGTAGCTATAACATTATTTCAAGAACAGTGACATATGTCCTCTATATCTACCCTAGCCTTGCTATCCTAGATTCACTGCTGATTATAGGGAGGACATTTGTAGCTGACCGTAACTATATATATTTTGGGCATTTATGTGACTATGGTACTAGTATGATTGGAGTTTTAAGGGTTTTTGTCTGTAGCAAATATATCTTAGAATTATTTAGTTTTCTGTTAAATCAAGAAAGATTTTGCAACTTATGGAACTTAATGCAATTACCATCTGTTTGATCAATGTGCTGATCCATGAAAAAAATCATGCAAGTCATGACAATCATGTGTCTATTATGTAGAAATTCATTACTTAACCATTGATTCAATGGTATGTAATCTCACACAGATTTTTAGTTGCTAAAGTTGATTGATTTGATGTAAATACTAAGTGTGAGTTATTTTGACCATATATATGAAACATGCCTGTAATTTTTGTTCCTACAAACTAATTAGAGTATCACATTAACGAGAAGACACCGGGTAAAATCTTAGAATATAGATAGAAAATATAATCAGCTAACTTCCTATCAAGTAGTATGAAAATAGGGTTTATAATTCTTGTTCTACTAGTTTTGTTGCGGGAGCTGGCTCACGCATATGATAGAGCATAGACTTTGGTAATAACACTATTTTCAGTTTTCAGTTTTCTCTCGGATATATTCTCATTGCAAGATATTTCATCTTGATCAAGGTAGTTATTGTAGCATTATTTACCTTCATCTTCGTGACTACACTTTTAATCTATGTTACTCGAATTTTTAAAAAATGTTACCGCGCCTATGTTGCATCCTATAAAAGTACATTATTTTTTGAGGATCTAAAACGCACCTAACAATATTTTTGAATAATTCGAGCAACATATTTTTTAATTAACTAGGATTGAAGTACAGTAATGTTGGTTGGCCTTTACTTTCTCTTATGTCGAACAAAGACCATGTTGAGTACAGTCTACAATGTTGCATGTATTCTCCGAATGTGTATTGCATGTGTAACTGCAATTAATTGGACTTTTGCAAAAGGATGTCCAATTTAGTTCCTCTCTTGTTTTCCTAGTATTCTATGAAAGATCCGATTTTAAATTCTACTCATTATTTTTGAAATAAATAGATGTTCGGGCCTTCAAAGCCTTAAATGGTTTTTTTTTCTTTCTTAGTTTCAAGTTCCGATATTATAGCATGTGTATTTGGCAGACTCATTGGGAAGTGTTTGATTTCTCATTGATGTGCAGTGAAAGTGATCTTCTTGAGGAAGAAAACTCTTCTAAGAATTCAGCTTAATGATTTGTCACCCTTTGTTCTTATCGTAAGAGATTAAATCTAGAATCTTAACTAACGTGTCACGTGACAGCATTGATCTTTTGTTCAATTCTTTCTCTTTGATCTAACTCTCATGATCTTCTGTCCTAGCCTGGCAGCCTTAACTATACATGCCAAGTACAATTGGAACTTTTTTTTTTATGTTGTTTTACAAAAGTCTTTAGCTTTGTTCTGGACTTAAGGCTTAGAGTAATATATTAAACTAATTAAATAGGATAAAGTTGTGTTAATATATGCTTCGCCACCCATTAGAAGCTGTCATTGTCTACTTCAACAAAGGTTTGAGTTGAGGCAAATGGCATTTGATCTGTAGAGAGCAGCAGCCTTACACTAAAGAATGGCAAAAAATGGCAGTCTTAAGGTGGAAAAAAGAAGTTGTCAATCAATGTGTGAAATAGATAAATTCTTTGTGTTTGACAACTATAATTGTTTTTTGTTTCAAAGTACAACTTAACTTTTCAGTGATGCTTGGCTATCAATACAAGTATACATATAATTTATTAATTAGCTAGCCTCGTGTGCCTTTATTTTTAACTTGCCAGTTCAGAAATTTGTTTAATTTCCAATCAAGATAACTTTTAGTGGAAGTGCTGTATGACTGCATATGTTGGTTCATGTGCTTAGATTGCATTAAACATGTTTAACTGATAACTGCTGGATGCTGTTTTCCATATGGCTGCTGCTTTTCTTTGTGGTCTGTTTTGCTATCTTTGTGGCTGGCTTTACCTCGTGTGCCTATGTTGATGCATACTGTATGATTTTTGAGAATTAAATGTTATATTATGGTCTTGATGCTTGAGATGTAAGCTGAATACCTGTGATTTCTACATTAACGATATACTCCTCTTATTTGACATATATATAAAGGTCGTATAATTTCTAGTATCATTGATGTATAGAGGATTATATGGAATATTACTAGAAGGTCCATCTATTTCTTTTTGGTCCTGATGTTTGATGGCAATTTTACTCGTGCCACTCTTAATGAGGTTAACAGAGTTTCTGTTTTAGAGCAAGTTTCTCTCCCTTTGTTTTCGCCCTAAACTATCTCTTCCCTTAGACTGTTGTGTATTCGGTTCTTCAAATTAAGGAAACTTGTAGACTTTTCCTACGTGTTATAAGTCAGCAAGCATTCCATTCAATTTTTTTTATGACACCCTAAGTAATATTCATGATGAGAAATGAATTCTGCATCTTCAACTATAGCATCATTCCAACCGTTGTGACATACAAAATTTGTTAATTTAAGTAGTCTACTTTTTATTTTTTCAAAAACAATAAATGGACTACATTTTTCCCTTTATGTACATGTCTATATATTTTCCAAGCATATTTCTAACTTTCTTATGATTTTGGAATTGGTTTCTGAAACCTTTCCAATCATTAAAAAAGAAAAAATCATATCGTGATTGTAAGATGAATGTCACACTTATGCAATTAATTCAAATTTTAAAATAGGCATACATAATATATGAGTTGTTAAATTCATTTCATTTGCTTAAATTTTAGTTGATAAATGTATTTGGTATTTGTGTTGTGGATGAAAGAAAGTATTAAGTGTAGTAGTGCATATCATTGACGCCTACCTTGTAAGGAAAAAATAAAATTAATGTCACCAAATTGCAAAGTTGAAGTATTAACCAAAAGCAGAAATGGAAGAGTAAGGTGGGGTTGGGAAGTGATATAAAAAGAATGAAGAAAAACTTTAATTAATGGAGAGAAAACCCGTGTAGAGCGGGTGGTCTAAATACTTATCACATGGACTCCCGTACTTTCCGCTGCCAATCCTAACTCTTTTCTTTTGTTCTTTCTTTATACAAGTAAGTACTACTTGCACACGGACACAATTTTCTGTCACTACTTTAACTTTTTCTTTTAACTTGTGCTAATGTACCTGTGCTACTACAACAGTTATTGAATAACTTTGGTTATTAAAGTTTGACAGTTAAAAAATTAATGATATTTTTGATTTGAAGTTTTGAACTATAATCTCTAGTGAATATTCATCTCATTAATCACTATATACTTTTCTTATACTATTGAAAAACCCACTGAGACTGAAAGAAGCAGGCTGCAGCTGCTTCTGGCTTCTGCCTTCTGCCATTTGCAACTGCTTTGCAGCATATATAGTGGATGTCAAATCTTGGTGGGTCAGTGTCGAGTCATGGGCCTTTGTGCTCCCCAATGTCTCTTTCCTCAATGCTCCCATATCTTTCTATCATCTGTGGGTCACACAACTTAACGCTTCTTTCTTTTATTTTATCGGTTTCACTTATATAACGCTATTTTTTTAAATATTAAAATCTACTTAATTCTAATATTCTTTTTAAAATTTCTAATGATGTGCTCTTTTAAGAATAAAACGTGTTTAAGATCATAATAGTTTTCATAATATTTTTGGTATGATGTATATATTTAACTTATACGCAGAGGCGGATCCAGGATTTGATGGTTGCGGGTGCCACAACATTTAATGTATATTAACCAGTAGTCACTGCAGTTGAATTTGGGTATACATGCATTTTGTCGGTTCGCTCTATTTTAAATTAATTTAGTTCAATTCGATCTATTTTGAATTAATTTGGTTTGTTTTACAAGATCTTTTGGTGCATAAATAAACACACGATAACCAAACTGAATATATTTGGTCCTTTCAAGGAAAAAATAATACTAACTAAATTAAAAAAAATGATTGAAAGCATATGAAAAGAAGAAAAGAAATTGAGATCTAGAACAAAAGAACATAAGCAAATATACTTTTTTAATCTAAATAACTAATAAAAATGGAATTGTACATAGAGAGAAAATACAAAACACAACAACAACGACCTAGTGAAATCTCACTAGTGGGGCACAGAAAATACAAAAATAAAGATAAAAGAATTCAAGAAAAAGAAAAAA